TTATTTATAATTTTATGTATCGTTTTATACACCGGAAGCTTTTGTTTCACACCGGAAGCATACTTTACATTTCTGACGCGCTTAAACTTCCGCTGCGCATTTTCAGGTTTGTTTGAATGTTTTAATTTTCCCTGGGCTCAATTTCATCATACTTTGCATTTACGCTGTCATTTTCAATTATCGACACTGCCACGTGCTCCCTGTTAAATGCGTGTAAAAATCTGGATATTTATTTATCTTAGAAATAAGTATTTAGCGCCAGAAATTCACTAGCAACGGTCCCTCATGCTAATGCTAAGGCTAACGTTCGCTAACGCTTGGTAACGTGTTAGCATTTTGCTAACCCTAAAACTAAAATAAAAGTAGGAAGGTCAAAATATGCGTTTATATTGCTCTTGACTTTTTATTTTTAGGCAGGTTGTGGCAAGCTTTCAGACTTTTATTTATAGTTTTATTTTAAGTTTTGTTGTTTTAGGCAAATAACCCTGTTATAACATAACTGACAGTGCGGTAGAGTTAATTGACAACATTCAATCCATCTCTGATACACCTGATGTGAAAATATGTCACATTTAAATCCGTATGTTACTTACATTTACAGCGTTATTTAGTTGTATCTGAAAAAAAATGAGTTCTGTTTTCACAAATGAATCTGGTGTTACAAGATGTTCTCTTGAGCTGTTGAAATTAGTTTTGTGACATTATATTTAGGTATTAATCCTGTAGCATTAGAGTTAGTAGACTAAATATGATTTGTCAGAAAACATTTTATATAACCGACTCCAAATGTATTTAGTAACATCACACATATTGATTATTACAAAATATACAAAATCCATGATTGGATTTTTTAATTTTTTTTTATGTAGTGGTCGCAGTCCAGCAATTTTTTTTTCTTATTGGAATTAAATCAAATTCTGGAAAGAACTGATAGATTGGTGAAAGGATTTGCAATTTAGCTGAAAACGTGAGCCTGTTATATCAGTCAATATCTATAATTATTGAGTAGCTGTTTCAACATATATGAAATGAGGACCAGGGGGAAGAAAGGCTGAAATTCAGTTGTTATCCTAAACCTATTTATTAATCTTAATCTCTAACTTTTCAAAATAGATGAGCCCTTTAGCTTGGCTAAATCCCTCTTTTTACATCCCTTAGAATTCAGGGTATTTGTGGATCGGACTTTAGTAAAACAATACTAGGGTTGGGAATTGAAAAGATTTTCACGATTCCGATTCCCTTTTCGATTCTATGAAACGATTCGATTCTTTATCGATTCTTTTTTCGATTCCAATTTGGGGAAAAAAGGAGAACAAACAGTTTATCAGCATCAACT